GGGTCAGAAGCACAGTAGTGACGTAGTTCAGTTAAAGTAGTGAGATACCACAGCCGCTCGAACTCTCCAAAAAACTTCAAATTTACCCCCATTAGCATTCAAAACATCAAAAATAAGTCGTAAATAATTTAGTAGCGGTGATTTTAATGTTTTGAATTTTACGTAGAAAAATTGTGCGGAAATTCAAGATTTTCAATTTCATGAATGTCGTTCAACAGACAGGAAGGTCTGTGGAACCTGTGAGTTATGAGAGCCACTGTCCTAGAAGCTCTGCGAATCCCTGCCGCATCCGGCGGACCGGCGTCGGCCGGCGCGGCGGTGAAGCAAATGCTGGCCGGCCTCCGGGTCAGGGCGGCAGGGCCGGGCCGCGGGCAGACGAGGGCGAGGGCGCGCTAGGGCCGCGCTGCGCAGTCCGCCCGTGTAGGCCATAAACCCGTGCGCACGCGATGCGGCCATGGCGGCGGTAGAAGCATCCAGCCGGCCTCCCGCCCGCTCATCCCAGCCTGGTCGACGGCTCCGGCATCGCCTCACCAAGGCCACGGTCCTCCCCCCCCCCGTGACCCGCTTCCCCACTAACATGGCCTGCCCCTGCCACTGCCACTGCCCTCGCCCTTGTCCTTGCCAGCGGCCTCGCCCTGCTGCCCTCGTCCTCTCTCGTGTCACACGACCACGTTTGGCGAGGGATGTTAAGAGGCGGGGAATTGCAGATGTACATATTTGGAATGTAGTAAGCCAGTCTCGAATGAAACGTCACGAAAATACCCTTCAGTTTAAGGCATTTTTCAGTGAGAATTTACAATTAATTTCTTAAGGGAAAATTCCAAACAATTTAGTTATCAAGTCACGCCAATTTTTATATGAATACAATGCAATCTAATCTATAATACCGATCTCGTTCTTCCATTCCACCATCGGATGTTAGAATCGTCTAGTGTCATATCGCTTTCAAAAAGTTGTATGACAAGATATAGTTCTGATACTAGTTCATTCTAGTAAATGCAGGTATTAAGAAAGTGATAAAGTATAATTTTAGTAAGTGACAGTTTTTTTAAATTCACGACACAAGCGGAAAGAGAAACGATTCTTAATGAGAGAATTCCCAGCCCTGTGCAGCCTTCTGAATTAGCAATTCCTGCTTGGGTGGAATAAAATAAAGCCAACCAATAGTGTGTCAAACTTATTAGTTTGCATCATAACCCAGTAAAATATAGAATACAGATCACTTTCTAACTATATCCCTTATCAGTGAATCAGAACAGAATTTGACTAAACTCAGTGTGCGAATGTGCATTTGTGCGTGTGTGAGGTTCCGTCACTCTTTGCTAGACCACTTCGCGTGCACCAATCGAGACGGGTCTTTCGACGAGGTGTCATTCGACGTTGATGGGGAACTGATAATTTGGATTATGATCCGGCTAAAAAATTCAAAGAAATTTCCAAAAACGTGTTTTTTTCGTGTTTTCGCGCTGCGATCTGGGTGATAATGCCAGGAATTAAAGCAACGCTTCCTAAATCGATTTATGTAAGTAGCGATGATTAAATACCAGTATCCAAAGGCATTTTCACTTAATGCGCCAGTGTTGCCACGTTGGCAACACTGATGTTGACACCTTTAAGTGAACAATTGAATTACCAAGTAATTCGCGCTGCAGTTTGATTTTAATTTACATTTGAGTTATAGTATTTAAAAAAATACATTTGCGAAAACCTACGAACAGTATAGCCTCGGAATGTATTAAACTTGAAAAATTTCTAGTGAATAAGGAGAAAACAAATTGTGATTAATGTGAAAGAATGAATGAACGTTATGTTCTACACCGCACTTTACGTTCTTGCATAACTGTGCAAATACCGATTGCGAGAGTACCAATACTGATTTTCAAATGAATGTGATCCATTCTTATTAAACTTAACTAACACCTTATTCACATAAACATACAAAAGAGTCGCCTTTTAATGCTAGATTCGCATGCAACGCTAGATTTGCATACAAAACTATTGATACAGCAATTGCAGAAATAGTGAATACAAATTAGACTGAGTTTGTTAAGTTCTATTAATCACTTCAAAAATTAGGCGAGAAAAATGTGGAAATGTTAAGGAAATGCAGGAAAGAATCAACGATAGTTGTAAAGAATTTATTTGGAATATTCTGCATTTTTGCATTTAGCATTTGTTTAGCTAATGCAAATGTTCTATGTGCATTTTTGCAAATATACGCAAAAAGCATAAAAGTGTAGTTGTAGTAAAATGTAACTATTAGCATCAAAACGTGCAAGTATTTGTTACGGGTATTATAATTTTGAAATTTCAATATCAGTTCATATCCCGTATGGAAGTAACACACAAAAGACCACTGTGTGTTACATGAAAGGAATTATGAAAGAAATTTTCAACATAAGACTATTTTTAAAAGTTTACAGCGTCAGTGACGCCACATGTTACTAGTAAAAATAAGTATTTCTTCTTCAGAAGTAATAGTTTTCAGTTTTTACTCCAAGATAAGAGTAAACATTGCAAATTTTAATACATTTTGTTATAATAATTCTCGATTTCAGAAAATATAATGCATAAAAGTCTCAAAATATACTACGAAATACGAATATAGGTCTGGCGAAATGGTAGTACACTGCATCTGATAGCGAGGTATAGCGCCATAGATTGCGGGAAGGAACAAACGTGGACCCACATCATAAGATCATAGTTTATATTGATACTTAAATATATTCCCGTAATTTTATCTATGCTAATAAGAGTCAAAAATGTAAACCTAAACAATAATACAGTTTGTGATTATTATAATGAATAAATTAATTCAGTAGTTTGAATTTGTATAGGAATTCTAAACATGGGCAAGAAATTTTCAATACGTTACTTGGAGAGGCAAAGTACTAATGCCGCTGGTTCAAGCGACTGCAGATTCCAACGGCGATTGCCGTTGCGAGCGAGTTGGCTCGCAGACGTTGAATCAGCCGGTGCACGCTTGCACGTCGACGCCACGCCATGACGAGGGGAGCGGAGCACTCCAGAACAGGCAAATTTCTTCAGTTCAGGCAATGGTTTGCGCTAGGGGCGAACGGAACACATGCGAACCCGGTAGGTTTCTGTTCCACAAGCAATGGTGCGCGCACGGGCGAAGGAAACACTTCCAAACAAGTGAGTTTCTGAACCTCAAGTTATGGTTCGCGTAGGGGCGAACAAAACACGTGCAAACGGGCAGGCTTCTGAACTCGAAGTTCTGGCTCGCGCTGGGGTAGCGGAGCGGGGGGAAATGAAGGGGGGGGGGCAATGAGGAGACTCACTTCTTCGCACGCCTCGTGCCCTGTTCGTTCGAACCAAGGTCACAACTGTAAAAGTAGTTTGCTTTGCACAAGCTCGTTCATAATATTGCAACGAATATTATGTCCATGGTCATAAAACACATTCAAAAGTTAAATTTTACGAATTTTTTTCTACCTTCTATTTTTAAGTACGTTAGTCAGCATCGTGGTCAGCACTTTGGTGCTCAGCCTTATGGTGAATAAATTTTCCAGCAATCATAGATAGTAAATGTCTGCCTCTTCACACACACAAGATAGATTTCATTAAACGGTTTTCACATACTGTAAGTGGGTAGTTTAAAAAAATGGGCAGGTCATCTTTACTTCACTCCAGTCGAATTCCGAAATAACTAAACATAATAATATATTATATTATATTATATTTACAAATATAATAAGAGTATATCGAAGCAAACAATTAGTGAAAATTAGATTACAAACCATATAATGCAATTTACATTCCATTTATTTAACAAATTCAATAAAAAATGTATCACTAGGAGCAACTAATTAATGCAGAAGAGGGGGAAGAGGTAACTCAAAAAGTGAACTCACTATGTATATTCGATATTCATCAAACGCAATATATCTTATAGATTAAGAAATAAATGATTAACTCACAAAATGTATATCATTTTACGTTTCTGAACACTTCAATAGTGATGGATGTTTCCTAGTGGAACCTGTTTTTGTTAATATTTTGATCTGCTAAATATAGAGGCGTAGAAAAATGATTTTTCTGTTTGTTTGGACATTTTGGATCAACATTAGATTACATGACTCACACAGTAAGTTGAGAAAATGTTGTCATGAATCTTGAAGGCAGTTTTTACATTTTAAAGGAGGTTGCATGTCAGCACATGTCATAAAAGTAGTCACTAATAGCCTTAATTTCAGAAAAAATCAGGACCAACGTTATTTTTATAGTTCCTTGGTTTCTGTGTTTAACGTGGTAACGCCACGACAATGCTAAATTCATTTACCCAGCAACACCAACTGTCAATGAAATGGCCAGTTTGGTCGTGGGAGTGGCTTCATAACACGCCTCTCAACTATTTCGACGAATTTCCAGTTGATTAACACAATTACTTTCAGCGAAAGTACAGGTAAGAATTGCCTTATTTAGCAATCAAAATCATCGCTGGGCTCCTTTGTGTAACAACTAGGTACCTAGAATACACTTTAAAGTGATTAGAGTGTATTATTCATACCCAACTTTATTTTTGTTTACACTTTTATTATTCAACTTCTCATGGAGTTGAATCATTCTGAATCTCCGAGATAGGTACTACTACAGTTAAAAAAGTAGTCTTGTAATAAATCAGCATATTACAAGAGGAAAACTTGTAATTTCATAATTGAGTCAAGACATAAATCTGACTTTCATAGACAAATTATGTAAATTATGTTTATATTAAAAAAGCCAAGGAATTTACAACTATAATTTCTGGTATAAGTATATTTAGAAATTGAAATATAGCTAAATGGAGACTTACTACACGGTTCCAGTTGTTTAGCAGCATCCGTATAAGGGACGAAGCAGGATATTACAACTTAATTTTATTTCATACGTTGATTGCGTTTTCTTCTATGTAATTCTTTTTCTCATCCAAGTGCACCTTTTCTTATTATCAAGACCTTCTAAACCTGATGGCATCGTAGTGACAAAGGAAAGCCAAAATGCGCATTACGGAGTTAGAGCAGCGATGCCCCTCCGAGGGGGCTGCAGCTGCAGCAGCGACGGCGGCGGCGGCGCCAGAAGCGAAGGTGATAGCGGAGTCGGAGTCGGAGTCGGAATCGGAGTCGAGTGGCGAGGTACCGAGGATTTTTCTAACTACAAGTAATATATAAAATATCTCTCATGTCTTTTCGCAATTTCGCATCTAATCGCATGACCGTTCTTGTATTTGAAAGTAAAATTCCACACTTAATTGTAGAGTTAATGATAAATCTAAACATAAACAAGGAATGCCATATTCCTACAATATGTTTTACAAAGTAAAACTTTGCAGTCGTGTTAGACTCTTTCAACTGCATGGTGATCTGATTATTGAATTTCCCTTACAACTCGTCACAATTCCCGAGGAACAGACACATTCCCGTTAACATAATTGTTTCTCAACATTCAATCACACGTGTTTATAATTCATCACCGAACATTTTATGACTGCTTAATCTTTCACTTTGAGCCGACACCCTTAGTCCTTCGTGTAATTGCTGGGTTCCGTAGCGTAGTATTATGGCGGCAGCCACAAGCTAAGGGGCGTGTGGGTTCAAACCTCACCTGGGCATGGAGGGACCAATTCCAAGCACCATCCCCTTCACCCCATTCCCGCCCAATTCTCCCCCTGCCCGAAAATTGTGAGTGTGTGTGTGTGTGTAATGCGTGCCCTCAGGCGTGCCAGAGAAAATAAGCTCCATAACGGACTTATAGGCGGCTGTGTGAGCGCCACCTGGCTCCTTTAAATCGCTACTTCCCTATGGTTCAAGCGCCGCCCCGGGCTTACGAGGCACGCGGCAGGAGACAGTTCTCAGCTGCAAAGCTATTACATCTAATGGCGAGTTAAGGAACGGAGACACGACACTTTAGGACAGGGGAATCGAACTATATTTTCTATATGGTCATTTACTACTTTTAAGTATATACCAGAGGATCAAACTCAAAATAAATACGAAATGAAATTATATTAAGAAAATTTATTTAGAGCAAAAAAGTATTGACTTTACATTCATAATGAGAAGATTGTAATCAAATAATTTATATAGAATTATCGTGAGGATTAGGAGATCTGACTTCTTCTATTCTTGACAATCTCATCGATATCAGGCGTCATATTTGTGATAGTTTTTTTAATAATATGAATAGACTGAAGCCTTAAGCGATGTTTGTTCTTAATAATTTTCAAAATGGAAAACATTTATTCGCAAAATGTAAACTCCCAAATATACAAAAAATTGCGTTGCGTGCTTCTTCATATTAAAATATTTGTTCAAAATCTTGAAGTACTGTGTTATATTAATCTCATTAAATTTGTCCTTTGAAACAAAGTCACACTAAAGATCTGTCAACTCCATTTGAAAATTACTTAGTGCCTGTCTTGTTCATTTCGCAAAAATCGTTAACACGTCTGTTAAAAACGTAGGTCAGTTTCATAAAACGTTGAGAATACCCATCAAATTTTCTCTGATTAGATATGCCACATGCGTAAAATAATCGAGGGTTGTTTTATTTTATTTTCTCAAATATTACATATGTAGTATAGAGAAAGTAATATAATTCTGCAGCGAAAGTCGTCGATCTTCAGCAAAAAATCGTGTTAAAGACATCGTAGTATAGATATCGAAAAAGTGGGTAATTCCTGTTCCTATATGTATTAAATTATTTCATCTATCATGTTCTGTATACAATATCCTAGAGTGGTGGATTATTGATACCGAAAAATGGGTTGACAGCAAAATGTCTGTCTTTTTATGTCCACGTGATAAGTTGTGAATAAAGCTAGCGGCTAATCCGTGAGCATGATTTTCACCAAAGCTAATTTTCCCAATCTGGATGATGTCACGGACCTTTGAATTTGAGATCGATGTTTTATTTTTTTGGGATGGATACGGGAGAACGGGGGAATGAGAACATATCCCGAATAATTTGACTTTCGCGCGCTAGAAATTACGCATTGCTATAAAGGTTCCCTGGAGTGCACCATTTGTCCACAGTAGGAGCAGTGGCGCGGTCGTACTCGGTTTGCCTAACAAATGACAATGTTTTGGCCACCCACCTGTTACGTTTGCTGCTGTTATCTTGAGCCGGTGAGTTTGCTATTATTCAGGGATCTTAATATATGGTATTCGTCGTATGATTTACGTAGTTGCATCAGATAAAGTTAAAACAGGAGTACAAAATGATTTTATCCTACATTTGTTAATTTAAACAAAAACGTTAACATTGGGGTAATGAGAGCCATTTGCAAGGGAAAATTGGAGCATAGCTCTGATAACCTCATTATTGTTTTCACTGCACGTTATTTCAATTTAAAATTAAACACGCACATTACAAAGTGATTTATTTTGTTTCCAGTATTTTCTCGAAATAGACCACGGTCCACACATAAGGCAAGAGTGGACTTTACAAAAACTAAATACAAAAGTGACGTGCATCAAGGAAGACTCATTTGTTTATAGGGCTGCAAAATCTTCACAAATTCCTTTCAGCACTGTGAAGAAACGGTACAGGGCTGTATGTGAAGGTGAAAATTGCACGGAAAATTGCAGTAGCGCTAAAGTCAATCTTGCAGGTGATAATTGTATTCAAGGTTTCCTGCAAAGCAATCCCAATGTTGCTATTCGAAAACCATGGCCCACTAGCCTCAACCGCATTTTTGGTTTCAAAACGGAAGAAGTAAACCTATTATTTCGTAATACGAAACACAACACAGATTTTCTGTCATGTAATATGACACAACACAGATTTTCTACATCTGCGATTTTTAACGTTGACGAAACGACGACACTAGTGTGACCACTGTTCATAAATCAGAAGAAGTTATTGCTGCTAAGGAACAAAAATAATCTGAGCTTTTACAAGTGTGAAAAACTGGAGAACAAAAATGTTCATATTTTGTCAACAAAGTTCAACGAGGAGTGAGGCCCTTAAATATTGTTATCTTAAAAAATGATGACTTTGCAGTTAAAAGTGAGAGTGTACCCCATACTGTATAGGCTACAGCCAGTGCATCCCAGACTACGGTACGACGTACTACGTTAATACGACTACGGAGCCTTTTAAGAGGTGGACTGTGATGATAACTAATGTCTGTTCTGAAGAATCAACTGAGCCATCTTTATCTAAAGCTCAAGAACATAGTGCTCTTAGAAGACGCAACTAAGGTGAAGGTGAAGATTTCTTTACACACGTTTTGTTCTCGGATCTCCCCTAAGCCAAAATTAGGCTACCAACTCTTCAAAAATCCTCGTAGGAAACTACATTCAGAGATATTGACTGATTCACCCTTCGAAAAATTCATGAAGAAAAGCAACAAAGAAAGGAAGAGAAGGCAGAAGGAAAGGATTCACTTAAAAAAAGGATTCTAATTTTCTACTGTAAATCTGAGCAGAGAGAGGTCTGAGGAAGGAATGGGAAGGAATGGGATATAGAAGATAATACGTGATAAGGATAAGCATCATTATGCCTCAGCATTAAGCACTCATCCACTCCCCAGGTGGGATTCGAATTCACCGCGCATGGCTGCCGTCGTAATCATTTTGCCACGGGACCTGGCGTTTTTATTCTTTATTAATGCAAGAGTTTAATTTCGTCCCGTCTTGTTTGAGAGATCATCACTAGAAAATTATATATAAAATGTAATGTGCGTACACTTCTTGTAGTCACAAAAACTACTCGACCGATTTCGCCGAAGTTACCACACTTTCATAATTAGTTGTTTTCAGGTTTGTAGGCCGTGGTCCAATGGAGACTGGTCGAAACGTTTCGCCTGCAACTGTGGCAGGCATCATCAGTGACGTTGCTGGCGGGGGTGAAGTGTCCTTCCTTTCCACACTTTGTTCTTATTAGTACCTGGGGGTATTTAATGAGTGGTTTGAATGAATTGGGATTTTCGGGAGCGTTCTTTTCACGAAGACGAGGTGACCTCCACGCCGTTTCCAGAGTACCTTACTTAAACTGCGATCTATGGATATCTCTTTGAAGCACACGCCTCGCTTCGACAGATAACACCAAATAACATGGAAGTTGCTATCTAGAAAGCAGGAAGTCTGAACCAAATGCTTGCGATGCTCAACATTGTTCGAATATTTGATGTTTAGAGTGAAATGTAAAATACTAAATGCAGTTAATATGTTATTCTTCATTGAATAAATTTATTTTGAACTTGAATTGTACTCGGGCCAGTAACGCGGCTTGTCCCTGATAGCCTAGATAACACAAACTCCGACCGCGGAAGCCTACGCTACCGTACCTTGAATTGTACTCATTTAATTCACTGCTAATAGCGACGCATTGCCGCCAGCAGAATCTAAATCGCTTTCCCGTGTGCCCAGGACGAGGCGTCGACGGCCGAGGGGGCCAAAGGAGGGTCCGCGGAGGTCCAAAAGGAGGAGGCGGCAGTGGCGGCGGCGGAGGAGGTGGAGGAGCGCACGGAGCTGCCGCAGGCGCCGTTCGCGCCGGCGCCCGTGCCGCCGCCGTCCTCGCCGCGCGCGTCGGCGCGCCCGCGCCAGACGCGCGCGCAGCTGGACGAGGAGCTGGCGGAGCAAAAGCGCTCCCTCATGCGTGCGCTCGCCAGCACGCTCAACATCGTGCAGGACACGCGCAAGGAAGTGGTGAGGCCCTCGGAAACAAGGAACGCCAAGACTTGCACTTCCGAGCAAGGTCATAATATACACATATCGCAAATATCGCAAAACATACACATATATTAAAAACAAGAAATAATTTACATTATGACTTCCAATAACCAAACGACTAACCAGGAACATCTAGGGTTTGTGTGTCTGTTTAAATGAGTGACCGCGAAAGAGCGAGCGCGCTCGAAAGATAGAGATTTGTGAGAGTAATTGTAAGTGCGTGTATGTGCGCAAGAGGCGCGCAAATATGTGCGCGAGAGGGTTTTTTGAGTGAGATTGATGGTGGATGTCTATGAATGGGGGAACAGAATTTAACAAGAGGAAATATTTTTAATTTCTCCTTAAATTTCCATTTGTAGAACATATGATGAACACATACGTGGCCTTTCATGAGCTATTCTTGTGGCATTCAGCCATTCTATACTGAATTCCATCTAATAGACTTAATTACGCCCGTAGTGTCGCGGCGCTAATGATTTCGCTGGCCGCTCACCAATCACGCACACGGTTTCATCATCGCTGAGGTCTGTTTGGAAGCTATAAAATCCACGGGGACACTTACGAGAATGTGGCGCGTATAATAGCTGGTCTAGTCGTCCTAGCGAAATTAAAAACTTCGATAATTCTCCTATGAGTGAAAGATACTTAGCAATCCCTATCCATCTGATGATTGGGAGACAAAATTCAGGTTCATTAAAATAAAACTCTCAATGAGAAAACAGGAAAGAATCTGTCCCGCGGGTTAGGAGTGGCTAGTCGCTTGGATCTGGAAGGTTTACGTAAAAGGGCAACAAATAAAGATTCCGTTTTATGAGAGGCACTCGTGTTATCATCGCTTCACAAACGACAATGTTCAGTCAATCTATTTCGTGCACATAAATATTTTCAATGGAGATACAAAGTATGTGACCAAGAAAGGTCGATATCTCAACAGCAGAGAGTGGAACCTTGCATTGAAATAAAAGATTACCGTCAGTAACTTATCGACACGTGGAAGTTTGTGAGCCTGGGGTACCTCACGTCCTTATTGTTGGGGTATTATTTGGCCAGTCTTTTTTCACGTTCACACTTTTTGGGCCCGTGCATATCTCCACAGGTTACGAATTTTCCCAAAACGAATCCACATTTTTAAACATTATAATGCGGTGTCTTTAAACATGAGTAAGCTTTGTTTTCCATATGCATATCAATTTTTGTTAACTTCCTGTTCCAATATTGGCACACAACGTTAAAAATCGCGGAGCAATTTCACGCTGCAATTTTCATATTTAAAGAGTACCACACAAATCGTCAGTTCAATTTGCATCCAAACAGGCTACTAAAAATTCGTTTATTTCTTGTAGAAGGGATAACTTCAACATCGGGATTTAACGTGGGTAATTCACCGCCTATCAACATGGAGTAGACAAATAAAAACCTTTAAAAGACATCATTCAAAGCATTTTAAAATGTCATCAAAACTGACTACGTTTTAGACATTTGACTATACACTATAATATACTAATCCGTCTACGAATATATTATACAAATCAAGTCGACAAGCCCGAAAAAAACCTATTTTTGAACTTTTTCTGACTGTTTTTCTGTAATTTTTTAACTTGAAATTCTATAGAAAAATGATTCATATCAAGTTTAAAGAGGTCAAAATTTCCTACACTTTTACACAAAATATTTCTTTTTAAACTAATTTTTTTTTCATATCCCTGACTCCGTTAATATTTTCATTACGGGACTTTTCTATACAATACTGTATTTGTAAACATAAGTGCTTTGAATGAATTCTTATAAAGTTTCTCAAAAACAGAATTTTTTGTGAAAATTCTCAAAATTGTGCATTTTTAGAAAGACTTAAACGACATTATCTCAAGAATGGCTGCAACTTTTTCAATAAAATGTGTATTCATAGCTAATTTTTGCTCTTATATGACATTACTAATGAAACCCGACAGACTTTGTTCTGCCCTTCATCTCCTCCACTCCCTTTCCCTCCCTCTCCGTGTCTCTCCTCTCTCTCTCTCTCTGTTTCTCTCCGTCTCTGCCCTTGTCTCTTTCGTCTCTCCTCTCTCTCTCTCCTCCTTTCTCTCTCCGCTCCCTTTCTCTCCCTCCCTCTTCTCTTCCTCCTTTCTCTCCCTCCTCCTTTCTCTCTCTATCCTTTCTCTCTCTCTTCTCTCTCTTCCGTCTCTCATCCTCTCTCTCTCTCTATCTCTCTCTCTCTCTATCTCTCTCTCTCTGCTATGTCTCTCTCTCTCTTCTATCTCTCTTCTCTCTATCTCTCTCTCTCTCTATCGTCTCTTCTCTCTTATTCTCTCTCTTCTCATCTCGTCTCTCTCTATCTCTACTCTCTCTATCTCTCTCTCTGCTAATCTCCTATCTCTATCTCTCTCTCTCTCTATTCAATCTCTCTCTATCTCTATCTCTCTCTCTCTCCTATCTCTCTCTCTCTATTCTCTCTCTCTTCTATCCTCTCTCTCTCTATTCTTCTCTCTAAATCTCTTCTCTCTCTGATCTTCTCTCTCTATCTCTCTCTCTCTCTATCTCTCTCTCGTCTCTCCTCTCTATCTCTCTCTCTCTCTATCTCTCTCTTCTATCTCTCTCTCTATTCTCTCTCTCTATCTCTCTTCTCTCTTCTCTATCCTCTCTCTCATCTATCTCTCTCCTTCTATCTCTCTCTCTATCTCTCTCCTCTCTCTATCTCTCTCTTCCCTCTCTAATCTCTCCTCTCTCTCTATGTTTCTGTCTCTCTCTATCCTCTCTCTCTCTCTCTATCCTCTCTCTCTCTCTCATCTCTCGTTCTCTCTCTATCCTCTCTCGTCTCTCTATCTCTCTTCTCTCTATCTCTCTCTCTCTCCCTATCTCTCCTCCTCTCCTCCTATCTCTCTCTCTTATCTCTCTCTCTTCTATCTCTCTCTCTCTTCTCTTCTTCTATCTCTCTATCCCTCTCTTCTCTATCTCTCTCTGCTCTCTAGGTATCTCTCTCTCTCTTTATCTCTCTTCTCTCTATATCTCTCTACTCTTTATCTCTCTCTCTTTATCTCCCTCTCTTATCTCTCTGTCTCTTTATCTCTCTCTCTTTATCTCTTCTCTCTCACCTTAATCATTTTTTTCTCTCCTCTGTTCTCTTTATCTCTCTCTCTTTATCTCTCTCTCTTTATCTCTCTCTTTATCTCTCTCTTGTATCTCTCTCTCTTTAATCATCTCTCTCTTATCTCTCTCTCTTTTATCTCTCTCTCTTTATCTCTCTCTCTTTATCTCTCTCTCTCCGTATCATCTATCCTCTATCTCTATCTCTCTATCTCTATCTCTATCTCTCTATCTCTATCGTCTCTATCTCTATCTCTCATATCTCTCTCTATCTTCTCGCTTCTCTCTCTTCTCTCTCTCTCTCTCTTCTCTCTCTTCTCTCAAACACATTTCGTAGCAGATTCTGCGCGTCTGAGCAGGTGGGGGTAATATCGAGAAGCGCCGGACCAGCAAAACTGTAATAAAATGTTTAAAAAGATCTCCCTCTGTAGATTACGGAGTGAAAACGTATCTTTGAGGCATTTGGCCTCAAACGTTTAGTTTAAGCCACTAGGGCGATGTGTTTAGAAGTTATTTAACGATTTAGAGTAAAACGTCCTGCAGTGTGTTGCGGGTTGCATTTGGCACGACTACATAGTTTTGTTCTTTGTGACGTTTTCCATTATTTTTCTCAATATTTCAATAGCTATTCTGCTATTCAGGTGAAGATGGATCCAAAAACTTAGACACAATTAAAATCTTTGTTCTTAAGTGTAACTAACTCGACTTTGTTATACTGTGAAAAGTATATCTTAAAAATGTACCGTTCTTTTATAAAGAACTATTCTTAACTTACATATAAATATTACCTGAAAATATTGCAAAAATGTACTAAATTATTGCGTTAACTGATATGTGCTGTAAATTTCTACAAAATTTTCTGTAAATTTTGTAAAATTTGATAAATTAATTCATTATTGAATGCGTCTTCGTTAGCTTTAAATGATAAAGGAACTTTCTTTGTTGTTATGGAATGAAATTCACTACACGTAAATAATTTTCTTTTTATAATTTCAACGCAAACTTTATTGTAGGTTATGGTGGCATGCTCCACGATGAAGGTGGATCCGGCCACCCTCCTAAATGATCCCGAACCTAAGACTGAAGAGAACGAATCAAAAGACGCTGAAATGAAGCCTTCAGGGAACGAAGAAAAATCGAGCCAGCCTAATCCCGCCCTCTTCGCCAACCCCGGTCCGAGAAAACCAAGAAGTCTGGAAGAGGTTAAAGCATGGCTTCAAAGTTCTGGACATGTAAGTTGCAATTAACATAATTCTTTGAATCAAAAGTCTTGAACACATTCACATGAATTATTGGTAGAGAATATTTAAGAGTTTGACTAAAAGTGTTAAATTACTAAATGACGAAAAGTGTGACATTAAATACAAAACTCAAGTACTTATAATTTCGTTTTTACGATACGAATTCAGATTATTTACTGTTGCTGAATGCAGTCTGCTATTTAGAGTGTGATAGTCATACCAGACAGTTGCACGATTTTCTATTGTGCTTGTGTCATTTCAAGTGAAAGCTACATAGTTTTCTTATAATTCATTTCCTAAAATTTAGAAACGTACGCTAATAAAAATGGTGCGGATCTGATTTTCATGATCTGCATTTTTCATACATAAAAGTTCAATTATTTAAGTGTGAGTAGTTTCCAAATAATTTTAAGTCAAATATTGTATCAAGCAAATTGTTGCAGTAAATTGTTGTAGCTAATTAATATTAACAATTACCACTGCTAATTGTATTGTTATCGACAATTTCGCAATGAAAGCCAAACCTTTTATTTCAAAGTTTTACGTTCACCTGAAATACCATCTACAATATTTTTGAGAGTAAAATTAGTACTCTCAAAACAACCACATTCCTCTAATTCAGAGTTGTCCAACTAGCGGCCATTTACTGTGGCGAAGGGTTGTTAGTCAATCGTGAAAGTCCTTTGCATCCATGTCTGGCGAGAACACTGTGTGCCTAGCGCACGCGTCCGGTGGAGGTTGACAGCCCCTTACCTATTTTTACATTAAGGTTTAGAATTTAGAATTTAAAAATCATCTTAATGTGTTTCACTGCGTTATATCACTCATGATATCACGGCGTGCTATATCACACATGGTTCCATTCTCCTCACCCACCCCACACACACACATACACACACATATATTTGAGAGCATCCGGGCAAACTGCCGAGATCAAGAATACGGGCTTACGTGTGGACCGCCCGAGTAACAAAAATATGGCCCGCAACCGTAGTAAAAGTTATAGTTTTGACCCTTGAGGCTTTGAAAGTTGGACACCACTGCTCTAATTAGAAATTAAATTGTAATTAATGATCATATAACATGATTTTATTGTAATCAACAATTTCACAATAAATGTACACGATATTTTTGTGTTTTTCAGAAAGGCTTGTCGAAGCTATCACCATCTGGAGGCGCAACGAATTTGGAGGACCGCAAGAAAATTCCTCAAAAACTAGGGCGATCCACTCTGAGCTGCCAAAACTTGTCCGATCGTACTGGACAAAATGAAATTAGGGATTATCAAAAAGGTGCCCGTGAGCAACCAACAAATACTTCCTGCAGCAAATTCACAGAATTAGGTTTAGAATACGACAAACGCACAAAGCGTAATAATCAAGCCGGTAGAGAAGACGATGCGGCAGATGATCCGGACAAGAAAACTCTCAAATTCAGGCACACAAAAACCCACTGTCACTCAGTTGAACCTCCTGTAGCGCCTTTGCATGGAAGCATTGGGGAGGAGTTTTCCAGAATATTTGGCAAGAAACCCAAAAATGACTCCGAAAGTGGTATGGATACTTTTTTTCAGGAAGCAATGGAAACTTTTGTTACGGAAACATTGGCAAATAGTACGTGTGAAGAGAAAAAACACAGAAAAGCCCGCTCGAAAACACGTCATATTCTGAAGGAAGAGAAAAAGGAGCGAGTGTCAAGATGGGCGTCCGTAGATACTGCAGAGATATCGGCTCATAAGAATCGAAACAGAAAGGAACGATCACCGGAAAAGAATAACGAAAAAGTGCCAAAATCACAACTGCTACTGCATAAATACGCAGCAGGAGAAAACGTCCGAGAAATACTCATGAAAGCCAACAGAGACGCAGAGATCATAAAGAAATGCGGTAAGTTCGCTTGTCACAACCTTATACGACGCACACAAATATACGTGGATCAATAGTATATCATTAAGAAATGAAGTGTTAAATTCAAAAAGTTGATTTTTTAATTATATTCAATTATAAGCAAAATAACACATTACGTCAAGGTTATAACGCAAGGAATTAGAAAAACAAAATTAAGCTTTGGTACTTACTATGAAGTCTTGCTCCATATTTTTATTAAAAAGAAATAGTGACCTTAACAGACGCATATCAATGCGTCCGTTACCTAGATTGATTGATTGTAAGTGATTCCGGGCGCGTCTTAAGGAATTAGTCCCGTAAGTGTAGTGCATGTGTTTTCTATTGGGGTGGCAGCGGTGATCTCCGGCTGAATGGGGAGACCCGGCGCCAAGTCCGGCTAGCGGGGTTTTCCCCAAATAAGTACCGCCCCAGCCGGAACAGGCTCTAAGCTTAACCGGTCACCCGGCATGTGTGGCAGTGTAGTACATGTTAGTGTAAGTGTGTGTTATAAAGGGATGAGGATAGGACAAGGAAGAAGAAGGGATGATCGTGCGAGTTTCGTCGCCCGTTTGTTAGGTTACTGCTCCGGCATTCGCCTGGTGTTGATCGGATAAAGCATGGAAAACTGACGACCACTGCATACAGTCGCTAGAATTCTCTCTCCAGACAGCGAACGAATTAGTTGACAAGCTAGAGTCGAAAATTCTATTGTCGTGACTCGATCCTAGGACCTCCCGGTCAGATGCACTGGAGTGACATCAATTGATACCCTGCCCCACCTCTCCCGATCCGGTGTCTAGAGCAAATAGAATTAAAGAATTGCAATATAAGAAGGAAATTTGTGCATATTCATGAACTGTTTGTTGGCGTTCTTAACAAAATATACTGTAAGTTCTGTAAGTATCTGTTTAAATATCTTAAGATACGGCAAAAGTTTAAAATCGAGGGTAACTCAACATGCTCTCCAAATTTGTAATTGTCTATGAGATCATTTGATACACAGGCGCTTTGCATGTATTGACCTATGATAGCATCAGTTTTAAGATACCATCACAAAAAATAATTTTTGATTGAACAGAAAGCCTTATAGGTGGTTCTTCTTTACCTTCATCAATACTCACTCATCGGTTATTCAGAATTAGAGCACGGATACGCTCATTACTTATATTAGTTGTTGATGACGCTGGACATCTTTTTATTTTTCAACCTCTATGTTCTTTTGAATGCTTTTGAATGATTCAATCCAGTGGTATACACATTGTACCGAAATTATTCTAATGATTTCAGCTTCAGATCACAAAAAATGAATTGTGAAAGCGTGCCATTTTGAGATGAAAACGGAGTTTGGTGCAGCCACATTTGCGTCGCACCATCTCAAACGAACATTAGGTTGAATGATTGATTAGTGTTTCCTGGCGCACCAACTCCTAAGGTCACTAAGGTCTGTAAGTGTAATGGATGTTTTTTCGCGAGAGGGGGAGATCCCCTGGATGACGAGAACCGGGGCTGCCCTACACGCCGGCTTAATTGATTTTTCCCCAACCAAGTAACTCCCACCAGCGGATCACTGGCCCAACCGGGACGAGCTCTAATCTCCCGTCTGGTCTTCCGACATGTGTGGATAGGTCAAGGAAGAGGTAGAAAATATTTCGCAATCCGTGACCCATTTGATAGGGTGTTGTTCCGGAATTCGCATAATGTTGATCCGATAAACCACTGACTCTCTCGATTAGAGCAACCATCCGTTAGAATGCTCCTGCAGACAGCTGGTGACCTAGCTATCTACCTCTGCCACCGTTGGAACCCCAGAACCTCCCGGACATAGGTACTGCAGTGACATCAATTGCGCTGGACAGTCAATCTATAGGCGCTTAGCAGGAAAGTGCAGACATTTATTTATTTACCATCGTATGTATGCATGTATGTATGTACTTGGCGCGACAGCCCGTGAACGGTCTGAGGCCTACCGGCAACGTCCCTACCTCGTGACCATGTGTTAAGGGGATACGTGTGATTGGCACGTAGACATTCCCATGCCGTATTCCGGACTTCTCAACCTGAGATGTCAATTTTCTCATCATCACCTAGCAACATATACCGCGACATTGCAAGGAAAACGATCACTATAGTCTTTGCTCGACCGGGAATCGAATCCGGAACCGCGTAGTGGACAGCGAGCACTCTGACCAAGAGCGAGCCACGAGCCATTGATTTGCCCTCGAACTTTGATCATTTTCTATTCTTGCGGTCCATTCCGAGGGTCCTTGCCAGAATCATTTCACAGAGTCACTCATTTCATTCAAAATGGTATGGGAAAAAAGGCAGAGGCTCTACTGCTAAGGCGCATGAGTTGATCGCCTCTTCTCGTGATAATTACGAAGAAAAGTCTTGAAAATGCCCGGGCATAGGGATAATCTATAATCGGACGAGAAATAGTGTGCTCAGTTAAAGTAGTACAAAGAGCACTCGTTTGGTTCGAACACAAAAAACGACTTTGGTACAACCAGTTATTTTTCTTATTTTAACTTTTACAAAATTGTGATTATGGACATTTTTGTATTTACAAACAAAATATTGGAAATGTAAGAACGTCTAGAACATACCATGGATATTAAAAATATTTGGCATCCAATAAATCGATGCTTCAAATATCAATGTTTCTATAAAAATCGCAAGGATGTAGCATCCCTAAAACACACACACCTACACACACTCAGGTATGTGCTAAATGCAATTACACTAATGTGTGTGAACAGTCGATTATTTACATAAACACTCAAATGAACTGAATTTGTATGTGAGAAATTTATGAAATAGTTTTGTAGGTATTGTTAATATCATGATAGTAAAGGAATATTTATATACTTCTCTTCTTAGATAAATGGCTTTCACTTCATAGAAATAGTTTGGCTTAATGATTTATAGGTTTTATTTTGTATTAAAATGTATGCGTCTATTGAAATATCTTTTACCAACTACACGCAACATTCGATTTTAGTAATGCAACTTATCTTGTGCTTTCTAGGGGCAAAATGGGCAAATGAACGATCCCCGTACGAAGAAAAAATGCTGCCTCCCGCCCCCGCCCGCAGACGAAGAAATTCGTCCAGCACGAGCAGATTGATCAATCGTTACTGGCAATAAATAGCACTTAACATTACTTTTGCACGTTTCATCTTTTCATTCGCTTGAATCCAAGTCTTTCTTCCCCGCACGCGAGCAGCTTTCGAAGCAACGCGCCGCTTTGTTCTCCGAATACCACTCCCGAGACACTCACTCCGCCTTTGGGAATCTGCCTGCTGCCCCTCCACAGTAAGGGTAACAACATCTTATTCTAATCCTGATCGCCTTCAAATAATTCATAATAATCTTCTCAAAATCACGAACTAACTCTGTTTTGGCCGAAACTTCACCAACATCTTGGCATTCAATATAAAACAATTTGACCGAAACTTCCTCTGTCTCTTTTCGGCCCCAATTGTGACCATTCTGTTAGAAAAATAACACACTTCCCAAGAATTGATAAACCATTCTTGGGAAGAAGTCTTTAAATAATTCCTCTTCCCAGAAACTTTTTTCCGCCATCGACAACCAAGAGATATCTAACTTTAACAAATACAAATATTGCAGGAGCCCCACCGGGTTAACTTCAAATGTAAAATTGTTGTATGTTGTGTATATAAATTTCAAGCCTTCGTTGTAAACAGTTTGGGGTAACCAGTGAATAGAGTAACACTGTGAAAACTTTATTTTAGCTCCTGGAGAACATACAAGCCAAGAGTGGCCACTGGCGTAGAAACAGATGGTAATGGTATACTTTAATTTGTGCTGAGTCACCTCTATTAAGTTTGCTTTGTCACTCTACGTAAACTGTTACATCAATTTTTTTTTTTTTACATTCGTTCATTTTAGTAGATAAAGGACAAATTCTGAACACGTGATCATAATTTTGATAAAGTACTTTAACATTTTCTAAATTTCATAATCGATATTTTAAAAATTCATTATCTTAAATATAGTTCTTGTTAGTCTTCCAAAAACCTAATACCATGGTTTCGAATGTTCTTTGCATGTTTTCCTTTCTCTTTTATCACCAGTTCTTTCATCTCTACTCTCTTTCCACACCATTATTTTTTCAGCTTTTCCCAAATACTAATAAAATGCTCATATTCATGCAAGCATATAAATTACATTTTTTGGCACATGTAAAAATAATCCAGTCACAATCCCTTTTTTGTTGAATTGATCCACTATCAGATTTTGATGACAAACTGCAGAAGGAGAATTGCGGCGAGTGAATATCCTATCTATCGTTTTGAAAAGGAAGAACAAAAGGGATGTTCGGAAGCATATCACATCGTCCGAGAAACGGGTAGCAAAGAGCGGAAAGATAATAATCCTTGCGATTCGAGACGTAACCAAGCCTGAAATCGCTCACAATCCTGGGCGCCGGTGGAGGGGGGATGAGCGACGCCGAGAACAGAGCTGCGATCAATGTCACTGGCAGCCGCGGAGCACAAGCTGATTAGCAATTTAATATGAGGAAACCGCACCCCCACCCCGTCCTCCAGTGAAGCGGAACCGCTGATAAACCAGGATATTGAGCACCTCCAGCTGTGTGGTGGAGCTGGGGGTGTGTACGTACGAGCAGGTGGAAGAACTGACAAAACAGTGCGAGACAATATTTTCGTATTCAATTTAACTAGATTTTTACCACATATGCAAAATTTGTAAAATTGACTTTTACGAGTCGTTATGAGTAAACTATTTCATTGTATTACTATTCTAGTATAAATATGTATCATACTACGAATGCATAAAAAAACACTTTATTTTTATTGATACTGTTACGAATATTGCATCACCTGCCGAATTCGTTGCGCGTGGATTGCGTCATCTGCCGGCGCCCCTTCCGCTTCCCCCCGAACTAAGACTCGCTGGTTTGCTCTGGGATACTATCTGCGATGCGGGGTGAATTCGCACGCGAATGTTTGTCTCGGGGTGCCTGGAGGGGTTACGAGCAAGGTAGAAAAAGGCGACACTCAGCTGCCGGTCGGCCGCAATAGTCAGACGTGAGTAGATAGTTCAGTGGGTGTAAGGCTTCAGTTGAGGGCAGAGAAGCGTCATCCGTCAGTGGTGTCCGAAGTGGGAAGCTGTGCTGTTGCGTAAGAGTGTGCCATTCATAGCGGTAGAAGAGTGGTGGCAGCGGTTGAACAGCAGCTCAGCAAGTCTGACAGTCTGGCAGTGGCAGAGCTTGTGATGGGGGTGTGGCATCGCGTAAGCAGTAGTGCAGTGGGGAATTACAGCACGTCGCAGTTGAGAAGTCTAGCTATGAGAAGCTGAGCTGTAAAGTGGGCTTTCTGCGTGTAAACTAGCAGTGTCATATAGGGTGAGACCCGCTGTCATAGATGCGCAATGATTGTGTCGGTGCGTCAGAGGAATTGTGAGGTCTGAGCAGCGGGATCATGAGTTGTCTGTTGGCAGGGAATTGGGTAGTAAAGGTGGAGTGGGCCGTAGAACACGTGCATTGGGAGACTGGGCTCGCTACTGAGTGGAGAAGAGAACGAGATAGAGTCTACAATAAGAATAGTGTGTAGTGTAAGAAGTAGAACTGAGAGAATAAATCGATCTTAATAGAGACAGAACGTCGTGTAGATAAAATAGAAAAATAATTACGTGTAGTATATCTGTAAATAGACCAAGTAGATTTTAGTGTATGATTGTTCACGAATAAACCATCTTTGTTTAAATAATATTGTGTTGGTTTCAATTCACCACGGAGAAACGTTACAATACGTTATTGCTTGTTATTGCCCTCGATACGAAGTTAGATACACATTTCAGAACTTTTCTGGATCGAGAGAATCGTGCTTAGGAGAGAAATAAAAACAGTTGAAAGGTACTACATGTTCGTTTATGGAAGGAATTATAAGAGTGAATTAAGAAAGGAAATTATTAGAGGGACATATGAGGACACTCCGAGTCAAGTTAACAGCTCGTTAATTAGTAAATAACTCAATCTGAATCATTAAAATTACGTAAAAAATAAAATTATATGTGTACCACGGGCTGGTACTAATAATGTGTACTAATTACTGGTTCTAATAATGTCCTTGGTGCATAACTACTACGTAATATTATGAATATTTTTATCACGTAATTATAGTTATTCATTCTAGTTCCCCCTCGTCTGTCATCTTTCCATCCACGAGTACGTTCGTCCGCCAACACAACCACCTAAACTGTTCACATGATTTCCATGATGTACATTCTCCAATTTCGAGGTTTTGCGAATTTAAAACTGATATTTTTGATTTTTGGAATGTACTTACATGAAGCATCAACAATATTTTCTCAGAAAAGGTTCTAAATGTATGTGGAATATTGTTTTACTCGAAGAGAGCGACGCACTCTTTAAAAATGGCATATTTTCTTTGAAATATGTGAATTATAGAAAATTACAAAAGTTAAAATTAATGAATTCAAAATGAGTTATAGCGTTACAAACACGCAATTCAAAAGAACCAGAACACTCTACCCTTAGTAATTGCCCCAAAACTGTGAACACTGCAGAGCTAATGGTAACACGAAAAATCCAAAGATAGTTACAAAACACTCAGTTGAGGAATTAGTGCACTCTAAGGTATTTAAAACTACAGAAAATTGTTTATGGACTACATTAATAGAAAAATATTAATAAATAATTAATAATAATTAATAATTAAAAATAAATAACAAAAAAGTGTCCCCATCTGCATCACAAATGTCCATTATCACTGTCTAAGAAACATGCCAGTGAATTTATTAACATTTGTTATTAATTACAAGTTTTGTCACGAATGTTATTGTAGCAAGATTCATCATAATATTTGTTACTTGATATTTTACCTTAATTGTTAATTATAAGAAAATTATTGGAAAACATTAATTAATTAATTGGGAAATATTCATTAATTAAAAATGTCTTCTTGAAGTTCACTCAAAAATCCGCCGGAGAAGTACAGTTTTGAAACACATGGTTTCTCTAAGAAGAGTTTGGGTGCTTTCAACTAAGATTCCATTCAAACAGCCAAACGTAAAAAACGGAGAAGAGAAAGATTCTCTAGTATTAAAGACCAGTAAATACTGTGTGGTATAATCCGTCTCAAGGCTCTCTTCATCTGGATAATTCAAAAATTTGTTGAATTAAAAATACAAGATTATAATTGTACCGTTTAGCCAGACTTTTTATCCAGTTATTTTTCATATCTATTAGCATTTCGTTAAAGTGTTATGTCACTGCCGCACAACTAACAAATGAACGCAAGATGTTCTCAAGATGTCACTGCCGCATAACTAGCGATTGAACTCAAAACCATCATTTTTACTGTTGAAATGTTTGCATAAAAATACTGATGCATTACAGGAAAAAAATGGTTTTCTAAAAATGTTTACAGTATTTTAGCCTTAAATAAAACACTATTCTACAGAATATATTTTCTTGTTTTGTTTTTTGCATCTCAATAGTGGGATAGTTCCATGTTATCGACGAGCTGTTGGTATCTATGTGCCATAGAAGCCCCCGGACCCTTATGAAAAAATATTATTTATAAAATAAATAAATAGAGATTTGTCTTCGACTTCCATATCCGAATAACGATACGACAGTGTACATACTACGTCCACACTAGCAATTGGCGAAACTACTGTCAGCATCGCATAGGTCGTGTGTACTTAGATGTAACACGCAAATGTCCGTCAACTTAGTTTCGTGTGTTTAGTCGTGAGAGAAGCAAACCATTTGTTTCGGAACTCATGCTACTAAGCGTGGCGTGCGGAAGGATGGCTAGCCCGCTGATATCCCAGTGATCGACACGGACAGCCGCCCGCGCCCATTTCCGTCTCCTACCGCCGACGTTCTCCCACCGCACATCCCCTCGGCTACACCCGCCTCTTTTCATGCCTAATCTACTCCACCCCCCTCTTCCGCCTCAGCGGCATGCAGGAGGGGAGTCAGGAGGGGGGATGCTTCAGTGGCGCGATGCAGGATGGGGATGCAGGAGGGGCATGCAGGAGAGATGCAGGGGAGGAGATGCAGGAGGAGATTTTTTGTTTGGGGGGGCCAGGAGATGCAGGAGGAGGCATGCAGGAGGAGATGCAGGAGG